TCACCTTACACGAAATAGGGTGAATACATCTCATTACAATGATTTACTGGTAGTCTCGAAACTCTACTTTAATACGAATATAACTACACCCTTGTTGAACATCATGTCGCAGGAGGCTTGCTCGTCGTTTGGATAGTCTCGACAAATCGGCGTACACTGCGAACCCGAGCGGTCAAGCTTCCAACGACAACATGTAAGCGCCGGGCCAGCCAAAAGGTCCATGCGTCAGAAGTTAAGAGGAGGAAATGGTCGGTCGCATACAGAATGGTCGACGCTCTTTGAATTAAAATCGACATTGGATGAGTCGAGTGTAAAGTGACGAAAACTACTCACTAAGACTGCGAGTACTATGCTTTGCGTGAGTAACCGATTGTCTAGCCATGCAGCAAAGATAGGGGATCCGTTGCAGCGGGCATAGAGGTGACAATGTTGTGGCTAGCATTGCACATAATGACTCGATTAGTCACCGTTCCCTCCGTGCCGGCGGAGTGTGCGAACCGGACTTTTAATTTCGACATTGTCGGAAGCAGGTGGCTCAGGCGACCAAATCTTTTGGTTGGTCCGGCCCAGTCCGTTCAGCTCACACCGCCAGGCTGAGGTGGTCAACTCGCGAAAATACACATTATTATGGAATACACGAAAAGAGCCAATCAGAAGCCAGTGGCTTTGTCACAACGGCATGACTCGGCGAAATCGATTTTTCAGTGAGTGGAGAGCGAGAAGTAGCCCAAGTATGCTACACTTGGCGCTGGCTGTTGAATAGATAGCCCAGGCCATGCTCCAATTGGTCAGTCTCAGATGCTCGTCTGATGGTCCATCCGAGGGCTGATTGGCTGGAGGCGCCATCGACCGGACCGGCTGCCTCTCGCCAGGCCGAATTGCCTTACTTGGCCTGCAAACTTTCCCTGAGTGTGCTTTCACGCTGTTTGTGGCTCCTGCTTCCCTCCTCTCGCCTAAACGGCCCGTGCCCCGGGTGGACCTTGGCAATCTCTACGACCCAGACAGCTCAGCTAACTGTACCTGCAACCGGCCCAAGTGCATGATTCCCTTGTGTCGACTCGCTCGTTTAGGCCGCAACCAAAGAGCCCTTCTCCTTCTTCTACTTCTCCGCTCCGTCGTCCGCTTAAGGTGGACTAATTGACTTGGTCACTTTCTTTGCCCCCGTTGTTGTATGGCCCTTTTCGGAGATGAGTGAGCCTGTTCAAATGGCTGGCGAATCGATCCCATATCCTTCGAATGAGGGTGAACTCACGCGTACAGACGACAGATTGGCCCACAGTCCGGACTCGGTTGACGCGCTGAAAGAGGGTCTGGTTGCTGAGTCCCTTTGCCAGCTTAAGCTCGATGAGTCTGAGGCTAGGTCGGGCGGAGCTGAGAAGAGTTCGGCCTCGATTGGTGGCCTTCGGGAGGAGTCCGAATGCAGCCTGGACGTGTCGTTGAGCCATCCTACCACCGAGTTCGTAGAAGAGAGAAAAAGGAAGAAGCCGGATCCGAAGGCTTCAATTGACAATGTTTGGAATATGATGACGGTCCGCGTGGGCTATGACATAACAAGAAAAGGTATGCTTTTTGCTCTCCCTTCACTTTGCATGCTCACACAGTTTCGCCTAACACTCTACCTGTTTCAGGAGAGAGGAGCCTCGTCGTTGACGGATTCAAATTCACCAAGTCCCGTGACGGCATGGGCGACAGGGTGTTCTGGCGGTGCTCGCGGAGAGAGTGCAAGGCCACTGCAGTCACTGTGTCCGATCGCGTTGAGCATGTTCGCTCCATCCACACCCACGACCCGCCCTTGGCGGGCGAGTTCTTTGCCGCCGACTCTACCGACTCCCACCTACAAGAGGTGCGTCTGAGCGGATCTCCCGGCAACTTGCTCTGGCATAACTGCGGCAACCAGTCCGGCGTGGGCACCGCTGCGTTGCAGGTAACCTTTGCCGCCTCCTCGATGCCTCTTGGTGCAGCGACTGCTCCAAATTACCCTCTTGCCCCTTCTATCTCGACGAGTCGTAAATAGGGCTTTAAACGGAGACAAGAGGACCAAACTACTTTGGTCGCAGTCTCTCTTCGAGGCATAGAAACGGTCCGATCTTGTTTTTGCGACTTGGTCGTGTTGTTAGGGCGACCTAGTCGGAGGCACCTTGTCAAAAGTCTTCTGCTGTTGTAGTTATGCTGATTCACAGCGTTGGGCCGTGGACTTGTTGCATTGGCAGGCGTTTCACCGTCATCGTCAGTGTGCTTTGACACTTTCATCATCAAGCTACAGCTCGTCAAGAAGACAAACGTCTCTTGAGGAGTCAAATATAGACAAGTCAGACGTTGTGATAGGGCCGGAGTGAGACAAGAGAGTGGACAGTGGGCAGATGTGCCAAGACGGAAAGAGGAGCGGTAGCATACACGTTCGGCAGAAAGTAGGTTAAGAGATTGACTTCAGTTTGGCGCTGAGAACGACAAGATTCACTGACGATGCCAGCGAAGTGTATACGAATGTACAAAGTCCACGGTCCAGCGCTAGGAATTGTCATAACTACAACAGCAGAGGACATCAGACAAGATGCATCCAACTAGGTCGTCCCGACAACAGGACCAACTCGCAAAAATGAGGTCAGGCCACCTCAATGCATAGGGCTGTTTGCTCCTGATTCTGCGCCTGCGTGTTTTGCGATTCTCTGATTTTCTCAACGGGGATGAGGCAATCTTTAGTGTTCATTTGTCATAGCGCCCTTCCGTGATCCGCAATTGTTCCAGCGCTGCCTGCACATTCGGCGCACGCTTCATCGGTCGTACGTCAAAGGGACCAAATCACTCCTCTGGACCAGTCGTGGTCCTTGAGAGTGAAGATGCACACAAGTCGGCATCATGAGACCGGATTGGATGGGTAATCTAAAAATGTTCGTCACTAGTCGGCTTCTACGCTTCAACATTCCCCGTACTGCGGTTCGTGCTGGCACGCGCATTGCAGGCTTTTTACGCGTCAAACTCGTGACGGCTTTCGAGGGCTGGTTATGACGAGGTGAATTTCACCAGAATCCAACCCCGATTCTGGTTGAGGCTTCCATTCTCACTGCAACGTGCAGTCAGCAGAATGGGCAATTAACCCGGACCGGGCGCTAATGTCTCTATTTTTTGTTGAGCCTACTTCCATTTCGAGTGGAAGTGTTTGGTGAAGAGATTCGAAGATCGGTTCCACCAGAAGACGAGGGCGGATTCATCTTGACCAGTTGTCGATTGGCTTCACTGGAACATTTATGGTCACGCTGTTTCCGATGTAATATTCTTCGATTTCGGTGAATGCGTGCTAAGCTTTCAGTGAAGTCAATCGACAGCTGGTCAAAAGGAATCCGCCGTCGTCTCCTGGTGGAACCGATCTTCGAATCTCTTCGCCAAACACCTTCACTCGAAATGGAAGTAGGCTCAATAAGTATGAAATAAGAGATTCCTCGAAACGCAACTTTTATTTTTTATTTTTTGCC